CAAGGAGGTTATGTTTTTGACGGCGTTGGTTTGCTGGTTTGTTTGTTTGTTAGCAGCGTAGCTCAAAAAGTGCTGGCCAGATTTCATCGACATTTTGGGGACAAGTCAGAAAGGGACTAACTTAGAACTGATTCAATTTTGGTGACATTCCGAATTACCGTCTGGTTATTATTATTATCATTATTTATTTAATCAATAAATTTACTATCCAAGTTCGGTACACAAATCTACGGTAAACACATGCCACATTTCACTATCTCCCATTTTATTGTTATTGTTACCTCAGCCAAGGAGGTTATGTTTTTGACGGCGTTGGTTTGTTGGTTTGCTGGTTTGTTAGTTTGTTAGCAGCGTAGCTCAAAAAGTGCAAGCTGGATTTCATCGAAATTTTGGCGACAAGTCAGAAAGGGACTAACTTAGAACTGATTAAATTTTGGTGACATTCCGAATTACTATCTGGTTATTATTATGGACGCAGCAGCGGTGTAAGTACATTATATATGCACCTTGGCGGAGGTCTGCACTCTCTGAGTGCTTTTCTAGTTTTACTTATTTTACTTACTTATTTTACGTTAAGGTTTTATATTGTTTTAGAATTACTTAGATTTTAAGTTTCATTAATTACCTGTTTTTATTAATCTCAGATAATTGTCTTATTGTTTTATTTTTCGCTTTTATATTTACGACCTACCACGTCGCCTTCTTCATTATCGATTCAATTCATTAATGGAGGCTCACAGAGAACACTCGGGATATCGGATGTATTGTTGACAAATTTTACTATGTTCTGGGTGTTGTTTTAAAATTTAAGCGTACCGTTTTACCGATTTTTGTTTACTGTGTTTTTAACGTCCTGTTCATCTGTTTTGAAGTATTTTTATTGTAAGCTTTCATCAGTTTTTCTTAATCCTTTTACTGTTATTTGATGTTAGAATAGTTTTGTTAAAGAATATGCTATTCAATAATTATATATATATGTTTTGTTGAAATAACCGTTGCCACGATGACGTGATCCACTTGTATAAATACCCCTAGAAGATAAACCCAGACGGGAGTTGTCTTTAGACCTGGTGTTTGTGTGTACCCCTGTATTACCCTTCATTGTGGCGTCGCTGTAGTAGCAAGAGAGGGTTGTATGTGAATCGTTTTACATGCCAGTTAGGAAATGCTGGACGTAGATATTTAGTTTATATAATGTTCACAACCTAAGGTTTTTAACATTGGAGAGATACCCCTTTCTTAAAGCCCAAGTCCCTTTTTTTAAATATCAAAACCATTCCTTCAAGACGAGGTTTAGTATGTTTTATTATTTGTATTTTTACTTGCCAGTGGTGCTTTGTTTTTGTCTTTTACCCATTCATTCAAGAGTCAAGAACACCATAACAGGACCCTATTTCTAAGGGATATATACCTGGGGCACAGGACCATAACTCTCCTCGTAGGAGAAGTGAACGCGCCCCTCCCCCAATTCTTCGGCCCTAAACAGCCCTCCGCCGCTTGGATGGACGGTTTCGGGCTTCCCCTCGACAAAAAGCCTTACACTACTTTCAAAATCTATTCATCCAGAACACATCTAGTTCGCGTCTGATGCGTCGAAGAGAGTGAATAATTCCAGGGAAAAAATAAACACTAGCAACTCACGGTAAGATCCGGAGCAATCCGATTTTCCATTTGTATTTTGAGAAAAAAAGGGAAAGTGGTATAAATCAACTGATATATTGTACATGAGGTTTTTTTTTTGAGGTAATTAGTGTAAACATGAGTATTAGGTATCAGCTAATTAGGATTAGAAAAATCAGCTTGGCGAATCGGAGTCATGGTGAGTTGCCAGTTGTTTTTTTTCTCCAGGGATTAGACGCACTGTAAACTCTTGGATACTGAGTGAAGATCGTCGAGTCCATCAGATGCAGTGGAAGGAAGCGGTTCTTTGTGAGAAGCAGCTTTTGAGGTTGAGGCTAAGCTGCTCTCTCTCTCTCTCTCTCTCTCTCTTTCTTTTCGACTGAGCTGCACTCTCTCTCTCCCCCCCCCTCTCTCTGTCTCTCTCTCTCTCTTTTTCTCCCCCTCTCCCTCCCTCCCTCTCTCTCTCTCTCTCTCTCTCTCTCTCCCCTTCTCCCCCTCTCCAACCCCTCTCTCTGTCTCCTTCTCCCCCTCTACCCCCTCTTTATCTCTGTCTGTCTGTCTGTCTCTCAATTTGCCTCTCTCTCTCTCAATTTGCCTCTCTCTCTCTCTCTCTCTCTCTCTCTCTCTCTCTCTCTCTCTCTCTCTCTCTCTCTCTCTCTCTCTCTCTCTCTCTCCTTCTCCCCCTCTCCCACCCCTCTCTCTGTCTCCTTCTCCCCCTCTCCCCCCTCTTTATCTCTGTCTATCTGTCTCTCTCTCAATTTGCCTCTCTCTCTCTCTCTCTCTCTCTCTCTCTTTCTCTCTCTCTCTCTCTCTCTCTCTCTCTCTCTCTCTCTCTCTCTCTCTCTCTCTCTCTCGCTCTCTCTCTCTCTCTCTCTCTCTCTCTCTCTCTCCTTCTCCCCCTCTCCCACCCCTCTCTCTGTCTCCTTCTCCCCCTCTCCCCCCTCTTTATCTCTGTCTGTCTGTCTCTCTCTCAATTTGCCTCTCTCTCTCTCTCTCTCTCTCTCTCTCTCTCTTTCTCTCTCTCTCTCTCTCTCTCTCTCTCTCTCTCTCTCTCTCTCTCCCTTTTTATTTCCCTCCACCACTGTCGCATCCTCTATATTTCTCCATCCTGCCTCTATCTTTCCATGTATACATCTTTTTGTCTATGTAAATCTATTTCTCAACCTGTCTCCTTTTCTTCCTTTTTTTATCTCTCATCTTCCTCTCTGTCGTTCTCTACCACCTTTCTACTATTTCTCCCTTTGTCTTTTTTCGTTTTTTTTTGTCCTCTCCTTATTCCTCTTCCACCTTTGCTCCTGTTCCTCCCTTTCTTATATATTTTCTGAGTCACTATTATATTCATATCATAATAATTAGTAACCAGTATTAGTCCTCTAGATCACCTTAAGTACGTTCATTTAGGTCATCAGTTTATAGGTCTAGTTACACTTTATACTAATCATTATTATGCATTTACATTATGCATCATGATATCGTATTACTGCGAATAGTTTTGATACTAAAATCGTTATCAAACTTTAAGCATTTAAACGCTTAAATAATGGGATATTACACTGCCTGTGTATTGTAATAATGATGATAATGATTATAATGATAATGATATTAATGATGATAATAATAATAATGATAATAATGCTAAGGTTGAAATAACAAATAATAATAATAATAATTATAATAATAGTAGTAATAATGATAATAATAATAACAATAATAATAATGGCAATGATAATGATAATAGCAATAGTAATAAGGATGATAATGATGATAAGTAATGATTATAATGATGACGATTTTGATAATGAAAATAATTACAGCAATTGCCATTACTTTCCTCACAACACACAAACAAATGACTTGTGTGTCCGAAGTTAGGTTTAGTTTTGCCTAACTTTGACAGGAAAGTTTGGACACTCCGAATGATATGATATTCGAAGGAATCCATTTCCTGAGTCCTCTGGCACGAATACATTCATACATACATCTATCTATATATCTTTCTGTCTGTGTATGTATGTATTTTATTTTTATGTATCTAGGAAGTTGTCAGGACGATGATGAAGGAGATGATAAGAGTGATGATGAAGACTATGAAAGAATAAGGAAAACGAAGGAAGAGAACATAAAGAGAATGGAGGGATAAAAAGAAAGAAAGAAAGAAAGAAGAAGAAGAAGAAGAAGAAGAAGAAGAAGAAGAAGAAGAAGAAGAAGAAGAAGAAGAAGAAGAAGAAGAAGGAGGAGAAGAAGAAGAAGAAGAGAATGTGAGTGTTTGTATGTATATATATATATATATATATATATATATATATATATATATATATATATATATATACATACATATATATATATATATATATATATATATATATATATATATATATATATATATATATATATATATATGTATATATATATATATATATATATATATATATATATATATATATATATATATATATATATATATATATGTGTGTGTGTATGTGTGTGTGTGTGTGTGTGTGTGTATATCCATGGACTCTATTTATCTATCCATTTGTCAATAGATCTGCTTTTCCGTTTCATGGCAGTCCTTATTTTCTTTACATAATTGCGCGAGCGAGAAAATGGTGAAAAATGTCTGCTTGAGCGATAACACAAATAGATATTTCCGTTAATATGTCACAGTTCATGACATTTTCATGCATTTCTTTCTCTCAGTGTTTCTTTCTCTCTCTCTCACTCTCTCTCATGATCTCTGAATCTGTCTTTATTTCTGTCTATCTGTTTGTCTGTTACCCTTTCCTTTTTTTTTTCTCTCTCTCTTTTGCTTTGTTTCTGTATATGTCTGTCCGCCTCTCTCCCTCCTCTCCTTTCAATCTATCTCTCTCTTTTCTAACTCAAGAAAATGAATAAATAACCACGACAAAAATGTTAGAAAGAAGAAGAAAAGAAGAAATGATAACAATAACAAAAATGAAATTGATAAAAAATAGAAGAAAGAAAATTCACTACAGCTCAGCGGGGAGGGGGGGACAGGGTGATTAAATAATAAAATAAATAATCGTTTTCTTGAAGGTATAAAGCGGCAGTGCTATATTTCTTACATTTTACATTATATGTTTTATTTATCTATAAACACACATCTTCTTCTACTGGCTTGTTCCCTGTGCGGGGTTGCCGGTGCGGATCTGTCTCTTCCAAGCATTCCGGTTTAAGGCATCCTCTTCCTGTAGCCCAACGCTCCTCATGTCGTCTCTAATGCAGTCTATTCACCGCCTCTTGGGTCGCCCCCTCTTTCTTCTTCCTTCTATCCTACTCATAACTCTCTTCCCCACGTACTCTTCATCCCTCCTATACACATGCTCAAACCAACTAAGTCGACTCTCCCGGATCTTTTCACCCTATCGCTCAATTCCCAGTATTTCTCTAGTAGTCTCATTTCTGATCTTGTCCAACCTAGTTACTCCGACTTCATATCTCATCATCCTCATCTCAGCCACCTCTAGTTTCCTTTCCTGCGACTTTGTTAGAGTCTCCAATCCATATAACATGGCCGGTATGACCATGAGCTTGTGAAGCTTTCCCTTCACCTTGTCTGGCACCTTGCGGTCACATACAACTCCGGTGATCTTCTTCCAACTATTCCATCCCGACTGGATCCTCCTCGCAATTTCCTGCTCGGTGCCCCCATCTTCTTGTACGGTTGAACCTAGGTACTTGAAATCCATCACTCGGTTCACTTGGACATCTCCAATTCTGATGGGACCTTCTTCTTTCTGACCTCCACCTGTGCAAAGATACTCTTTCAACATGCCGCGTCTTTCCAGGGCATGTCGCTACAGTTCCAGTCTGTGTTCGGCCTCCGCTTGTGTTCTTGTGATAATCGCCACATCATCAGCGAACAACATATCCCATGGTGTTCCTCTTCTGATATCCCTATTCAGACATTCCAGGATGATCAGGAAAAGGAATGGGCTGATTGCTGAATCTTGGTGTAATCCCACTGTCACCTTAAACTTAGCTTTCAGGGATCTTCGCCTCTCTAATGCATGCCCACAGTTCTTCCCTAGGCAGTCGATCGTATGCCTTCTCAAGATCTATGAAGGTTCAGTGCAGGTTCTTTCCCTGTGTTTCTCTATCATCTGCCTCAGAATGAAGATAGCGTCTGTGGTGCTCCTGTTTGGCATGAAGGCAAACTGCTCTTCTCCGACATGCACCATTGTCCTCAGCCTCGCGTCTATCACTCGCTCCCAGATCTTTAGGGGATGTGAGGTGAGCTTGATGCCATGGTACGTTTCCCTTGTTCTTATAAATGGGTATGATGATACTGCTTCTCCAGTCGTCCGGCATCCTTCTCGTTTCTAGCAGAGTTGAAGATCGCCTGTAGCCACCCTATGCCCCGCTCGCCGAAGCATTTCCAAGCCTCTACTGGTAAACCGTCTGGCCCAGTTGCTTTTCCATTCTTCATCTGCCTTATTGCCTTCCGCACCTCACCCCGAGTGACTCTGCGTACTATCCCCTCATTTCCCGGTGGTACTACTCTTTCTTCTCTGGGATTTTCCTCATTTAACAGTTTCCTGAAGTATGCCCTCCACCGCTCCTTAAACTCCGCTTCATCAGTGAGGGTCCGGCCATCCTCATCCTTAATCACCTTGATCTGCCTCACATCCGCCGAGTTCTTGTCCCTTCTCTTTGCTATCCGTATGGCCATTGATTGTCCCTCCTTGCTGTCCAGCTTCGCATATAGTTCCCTGTATACCCTGTATAAACCTCTCTCTTACATCTCTTACACACCTCCCTGTAATCTATGGCAGCTTCGTCAGTCTGCAACTGATCACGAATCTTCTTCAGCTGTCTCTTCACACTCACCGCTTCCTGGACTTCCTCCTGAAATCCTCTTTCTCCTGGTCTTCACATCCTGTCTGTGGTGCATAAGCACTAGCAACATTTACGGTCTGGCCCTCTATCACCACCTTCATGGCCATCAACCTGTCTGAAATCCTGTTGATGCTCAGTACTCCCTCTTTCAACTTTGGGTCCAACACGATGCCTATGCCATTTTCCTTGCTGTTTTCACCACTGTAGAAAAGCTTGTAGCCCTCTTTTTCCCTTTCCACTTCGTCTCTTGCAGAAACAGGATGTTGATGTATCTTCTCTCCATAAAGTCGATAACCTCTCTTCCCTTGCCTGTCATTGACCCGACATTCATTGTTGCCAGTGTCAGGTCTCTACTCCTCTGTTAGTTCTTGGCACTTTTTTGGGCTAGCTTCTTTAGCCGTTTCCGCTCCTGATACGGTAGCCGTAGCCCACTTGTCACAGCCACACGGCGATCTGGCTGCGCGTCGTCTATGGAGGACGCCCTAGCATTCTCGTTATCTATCTGTGTCCGCAACATGATTAGGTTGGCGTAGTGTTTTATGACCGGATGCAATTCCTGACGTCAACCCTCCTCCTTTATCCAGGCTTGGGACTGGCAATGAGTTGTGCTGGCTTGCACCCCTCTGTGGCGGAGTTATCTATAAACTGAGACTGCTGGCTCGAACCCGACCTCACGTCAAGAAAACGACATACCGTCTTGAGAAGTCAACTGCTGGTGTCGCAAGGGAAGTCACCGCCGTGGCACAATTGTTAACGCGCTGAACCGCTGTTGATTAGGAAGGGCATCCAATCAGGCAAGGGTGACACTGCCATATAACCTCTCAATAGTGAATTGAGAGAGGCCTATGTCTTGCTGTGGAATAAATGGCTGGTGAACAAAGAAACATATATATATATATATATATATATATATATATATATATATATATATATATATATATATATATATGTAAATACACACACACACAGATATCTATATCTATCTATCTATCTATCTATCTATCTATATACATATATATATATATATATATATATATATATATATATATATATATATATATATATTGAGGTTGCGGCTGAGCTGTTTTCTCTCTCTCTCTCTCTCTCTCTCTCTCTCTCTCTCTCTCTCTCTCTCCTTATTTACCTTGCGTTCCACAAATTACAACCTTCTTCAACTTTGAAACCTCCCAAGAGACGAGGACGAAGAGACTACAGGCCACTGGTCTCAACCCCTTGTTTAGAAACGAAGAAGAAGAAAAGAAGAAATAATAGCAAGGAAAAGAGAGCCAAAAATAAAAAAAGGAAAAAATGAAGAGATAATTCCCTATAACCCGCACGACAGAGAGATGCAGGTCGATATTGGCAAACCTGAGGGGGGGGGGAGGTTGGAACGCCGGCAGTCTAGGCTGTTTAAATAGTAGTTTTCTTGGTGGTAGAGAGCGGCAGTGCTACATTTCTCACGTTTTACGTTATATGATTTACATATATACATACACACACACACACATTCACACACAAAACACACACACACACATTCACACATTCACACACAAAACACACACACACACACTCACACACACACACACACACTCACACACATTCACACGCATACACACACAAAACACAACACACACACACACACACACACATGATCACCATCACCATTATCATTACCAAAATCATCACCATCACCATCATGTACATCATTATCACCACCATCATCATCATTATCACCCTCACCATCACCACCATCATTATCAAAATCATCACCACGACCATCATCAAAGCCATCGTCATCACCATCCTCAATATCACCACCGCTATCATAAATAGTAATTATAATGACAAATATATATATATATATATATATATATATATATATATATATATATATATATTTAATGATAATGACAATAATGTAGTAATAAGTCTGATCATGAAACGCCGATGATAATCAGTAATTAAGAAGATGAAAAATAATAAACAGTAATAACGATAAGAATAAATAATAGAGAAACAGATAAATTAAAAAAGACAATATAAAATCATTGACTTTATCGCGATATTTTTTTTACAATTTTTAATAAATGTTCGAAGATACGATGATATTTTTTTCTTCCCCACCACCACTTTCTTTGGAATTGTTAGAAAGTGAGAGAAGGCAGAGAATTGATTAAAGAGGAAGAATAGGGGGAGGGGGAGGGGGGAGAGGGAGGGGGAAGGACGGACGATAGAGGGGAAGGGGAAGGGGGAGGAGGGGAAGGGGGGGGGTGGTCTCAATGCGGGGGTGAACTTGTCTTTAAAGTCTGCCTGTCTGTTTATTTATTCATTAGAATTCTTGTCCGTGCATACGAATGAGCTTATGAGTGAGTCTACCAACACAACCGTATACAAAAGCACAAGATAACGTCTTCAATCTAATCATTATTTCATCTCGTGTTTTAAAACTTTTTTCATTACGACTAAGAAGAAAAGAAAAGAAAAAAAAATGGAATGCATTTATTTAAATTGTGTTTTGTCTTTTTGATTTATATATTGAAATTACTTTGATTATCATTGGTAGATCAATCGAAATATATATAGATGGATACCTAGATTTATGTTTATGATGTTGGATGGATAGATGGATGGATGGCTAGATAGATAGACAGATATATAGATAGATAGATAGACGGAAAGATAGACACATAGAAAGAAAGAGATAGACAGATAGACACAGATATACCTAAGAATAAAATATTTCCTTACCCTTTAGTTATTCGGTCTCCCAAAATCTCTGTCTGCCTCCGTCTTCTCTCTTTCAGTGTATTTGCCATTCCTTCCATCTCTATTTTAGTCCCTTTCTCTCGCTCTCTCTCTTTCTCTCCTCTGTTCTCCCTGCCTCCCTCTGCCTCTCTTCTTCTCTCATCTTTGTCTCTCTGCCTTTCTCTCTCCTTCCTCCTCTCACTCTGAACATCAAAGATGGCTGTCAGCTTTTAATTCACACTCCATGAGACTTGCTGAATCCACACACAAAACTGCCAGGATAGAAAAGCGCGCAGTTCAGTAAATCACAATTATCCGGATGTGCGTCTGTGAGGGCACCACCTGAACGCACAGTTTTATCAGCATAAGCACGAGTATATCTGCATGTACTAATTAATCCATTACTTCCTCGCTCAAAACACAACCGGCAAGAGACGGCACTGAAAGGGGAGAATGCACCGTGGATTCGCCATGCACTTCGATTTATATGCAAATGTAATAATAAAGGAAAGCAATATTTTTATCACCATCGTGTAGCTTCCTTCCCCCTACCCTCTAAGAATTCGCTTTGAGTCAGATTCTAAACAACCCACTCGTAAGAATCCTGTGCTGTTTCTGTTGTTAGTGTTTGGGCAGTTTCTTTTCCACCGAATACGCTACTATGATTGAAGAATAAGAATAATGAAGATAATAACAAAAACTCTTCCTGATTCCGTGTTAGATCTCAATCAAGCCACGCATGAACATCTACGCACTTCCTCGTCTGTGCTTAAGCTTTTCAGCGAGTGGCGCAGGTCGGGAAAGCCAGCGTGACAGAAGAATAGAAATAGCAATAAATGATAATAATCAAAATAGTCCTCCCAGTCATTCTGGGTTAAGTTCCAACCAGCCCACTCGTGAACATCACATACGCACTTCCTAGACTGTGTTTCAGAAGAAAATTAACCATGAATAACAAAAAAAAAAAAAAAAAAAAAAAAAAAAAAAAAAAAAAATCCTCTTATACATCATTCTTCAAGATTCCTATGACGATCAGATACGTACCTTTCGCCTGAGCCGGTGACGCACATCAAACACTGCACCGATATGGATACAGCCCCCTCCTTCTCTCACACATAAATAAAGCTCCAGAGACTCCGTGTGGCTATGGGAATCAAAGGTCATTTCTGAGAACAGTTGTTAGTGATAG